ACACTTCCAAGAAAAAGAAGAGGCCTCTGTTGTGCAGATACCATTGGCCCTCCCCTGCCAGGGACAAGCTCCTGCCTCCCACAAGCTCAGCCCTACTGCCATCTGCACCACACCAGAGCCCACATCACAGGCAAGCAAGGTAATGAGCCAGGTGCTGTGACACAGCAGCACCCAGATCCCCTCAGTGAGCGCTGTGGGCAGGCAGGCTTCAGCAATCAGCCCTTTCAGGGATTTGGTGGCTGTACAGACCTGCACTCCACACGACACCCGTCCCAGGCAACCCTCATCTAACGACTGATGGGTGCAGAGCAGGAAGACCTGACTATCTCACCAGACTGGAGACGGCTCTGAAGGGCTGTGCTGTTGCTTTTGCTTTTGCTCTTGCTCCAAAGCAGAGGCTATCATGGGGCCTTCCTTGCCACTTGAGTCTCCCTCTGCCCACTCTTGCTTCCCGCGCCTACCCCACAGGTGTTGTCCCAAAAGTATCCCTTAGTAAGGATCCTGCATGACAAACTCTCTACCTCCTCTTCAGGAAACCTAGCCTATGGCATAAAGTCCCAAAGACATATTGACACAATTTTCTGCCACCTATGGATGCTCGTGAATAACACCCTTACACAAGCCACAGTACCAGATGACAGTTCTGACTATAGTAATCTTTCTGAACTCCAACACCCCACTTTTCTCAAAGGGAGCTTGGATTTCACCTGGAAAGGATTCTCACTTTATCAGCCCTCAAAGTGCCTTGCCATGCCCTCCAACAGCCACAGACTCCGCCAGCTTCCATAGCACCACTTCTGCCACAACTCCCCAGGGGACAGAAGGCCAGACTGCCACCAGGGTCAACAAGCCACCCACAGGGCGAGCTAAACAAAGGAGCACTCTAGGTGCGGAACCCACAAGCATGAACCGTCAGGCACTCTTGCTGCACTCTGTGTGTACAGCCACCTCTCTCAGATCAGGCACACCCTTCTCTACCCAACCTCCACCACAAGCCCAAACTACTCACCACTCAGCCTGGCCTGCAGCCCCTGAGGCAGGTGGAGGGAAAGGCCATGAGAGGGGAGGTTACACTGAGTTCTACTGCCATTTATGGCCAGTGCTTTGGACTCTGAAACTTAATCGCCACCAGTGCCTGGGGAGGATGGAAATGGTGGCCTCAAGAGTTGGCTCTGCACCTTTCCTTGTGAGACCCTTCTTGTCCTTGATGGGTCGCACAAAGTCAAAGAACCTCAGCTGGGCCCAGACAAAGATACTTCCTTCCTTGGAGCTGGAGGGGAGCCCAGGTTGGTGGGTCTTAGTGGGCTCTGTCAGGCCCTGGAGCCAGCAGAGAGCTCCAGGGTGAGTTCCTGAGCAGGGCAGGAGACATGGAGACGCAGAGCCTCTTTGAACTCTCTTTTCTGTGGACTTGCACTTCTGTTCTGCTACTTTGGTTTCTGCTGGTTGCATCTGCTCCCCCGGAGCCTGTCCTACCCCAGTATGTGGGTCTGGCTGTCTTGCTGCAATAAAGCCACAAACTGGGCAAGTTTCTTAACCTGAGTCTCAGCAGTTCATGGGTAAAATGAAGCATTCTTCTGGCAAGGCTTTGAAAAGTCAAACAAGAATTACCCCCATTAAGTGCCTACTATGGCTCGAATGGGGAAATTCATGTTGAAGCTCAATCCCCACTGTGGTAGTATTAAGAGGTGGGGCCTCTAGGGAAGTGATGGTCACCAGGGCTCTGCCTTATGAATGGATTAGTGCCTTATAAAAGGGCAGGAGGAAACTAGCTTAGGCCCTTTTTGCCCTTCCATCTCTTCTGCCATGTGAAGACACAGCAACAAGGTGCTATCTTTGAAGCAGAGTACTACCTGTACCAGATACCAATCCTACTAGGATCCTGGACTTCCCAGCCTCCAAAACTGTGAGAAGTAAACCTTTATTGTTTATAAATTACCCAATTTGTGGCATTTTGTTACAGCAGCACAAATGAACTAAGAAGGTGCCCAACAGAGGGCCTGGCCCGAAGTGCTCAGTATACAAAAGCTACTATTAGCTACTATTAACCATGATGATGATTGGGTAAAGAAGATGGGACAGTCCATTTGTCAGCTTCTAACCACTCCTCCTCAGCTAACATCCAGGCCCTCCTCGCTGCAACTCCTTAGTTACCAAAGCACTCACTGTCTACTCCAAGTACGGCAACAACACACCATTTTCCTGGCTTATGCTGCAAATGGAGCCCAGAATCTGAGAAGACATTCAAGTCCTATCAGGCACACCCAAGTAAGGTGCTCCAGCTCTTGCCCCACCCTCTGGGCCTCTTAGGGTAAAGCCTCCAGCACAATGGACACTGAATACAGGCTTAGTAGGTAAGGCCAAAATGTGAAATACCATTCTCACTCCACTTTCAACCAATCATCCAACAGGCTGGATAATCCAAAACTAAGTCCAAACTCAGGGGCAGAGGGAGAATAAGAAAAAGAGTACAGGCCAGGAACAGTGGCTCATGCCTGTTACCCCAGCACTTTGGGAGGCTGAGGCAGGCAATCACTTGAGGTCAGGAGTTTGAGACCAACCTGGCCAACATGTTGAAACCCTGTCTCTACTAAACATAAAAAAATTAGCTGGGCGTGGTGACGCATGCCTGTAATTCCAGCTACTCAGGTGGCTGAGGCATGAGAATCGCTTGAACCCGGGAGGTGAAAGTTGCAGTGGGCTGATATCGTGCCACTGTGCCCTCACACTTCTCATTCCTACCCCAGTTTAACAGTGATTTGTGTCTGGGAAGGCCAAGCACAGCACATTTATATACAGCAGCTCTTCTGCTTTTAGATTCCTTCAGGACATGTAAATGCCTGTAATCTCCATGTTTTCAACCTAATACAACATGAAAACAGGGAGTGCAAATACACTAATCAACCATTTGCTTTCTAGCTGCTCTATATGTAGGAAATGTAAACACTTCTCCAGCCTGGGAAACATAATGAAACTCCGTCTCTACAAAAAAATAAAAATAAAAAATAAAAAAATTAGCTGGGCATGGTGGGGCATGCCTGTAGTCCCAGCTACTCAGGAGGCTGAGGTGACAAGATCATCTGAGCCCAGGAGGTTGAGGCTGCAGTGAGCCATGATTGTGCCACTGTACTCCAGCCTGGTGACAGAGTAAGACTCTGTCTCAAAAAAAAAATAAAAATAAAAATAAAAATTTTAAAGATATGTAAACACTTGTTATAAAGTAAAGCTGGGCACAGTGGCTCACGTCTGTAATCCCAGCACTTTGGGAAGCCAAAGCAGGTGGATCACCTGAGGTCAGGAGTTTGAGACTAGCCTGGCTAACATGGTGAAACCTCGTCTCTATTAATGGCTGGGCACGGTGGCTCAGGCTTGTAATCCTAGCACTTTGGGAGGCCGAGGCAGGTGGATCACCTGAGGTCAGGAGTTTGAGACTAACCTGGCTAACATGGTGAAACCCCATCTCTATTAAGCATACAAAAATGGCCAGGCACGGTGGCTCATGCTTGTAATCCTAGCACTTTGGGAGGCCGAGGCAGGCAGATCACCTGAGGTCAGGAGTTTGAGACCAGCCTGGCCAACTTGGCAAAACCTCATCTCTACTAAAAATACAAAAAATTAGCTGGGTGTGGTGGCGGGCGCCTGTAATCCCAGCTACCAGGGAGGCTGAGGCAGGAGAATCACTTGAACCCCGGGGGCAGAGGTTGCAGTGAGCCAAGATTGCACCACTGTACTCCAGTCTGGGCGACAGAGAGAGACTCCATCTCAAAAAAAAAAAAAAAAAAAAAAGAATACAAAACTTTGGCCAGGCGCAGGGGCTCACGCTTGTAATCCTAGCACTTTGGGAGGCCAAGGCGAGCAAATCACCTGAGGTCGGGAGTTCAAGACCAGCCTGACCAACATGGAGAAACCCCGTCTCTACTAAAAATACAAAATTAGCCAGGCGCAGTAGCGCATGCCTGTAATCCCAGCTACTTGAGGCTGAGGCAGAATTGCTTGAATCTGGGAGGCAGAGGTTGTGGTGAGCTGAGATCGCGCCACTGCACTCCAGCCTGGACAACAAGAGCAAAATTCTGTTTAAAAAAAAAAAAAAAAAAATTAGCTGGGCGTGGTGGTGGGTGCCTGTAATCTCAGCTACTTAGGAGGCTGAGGCAGGAGAATTGCTTGAACCCCGGAGGTGGAGGTTGCAGTGAGCCAAGATTGCTCCACCGCACTCCAGCCTGGGTGAGAGTGAGACTCTGTCTCAAAAAAAATAAATAAATAAAATACAAAGCTAACCTTTTTATAATTAAGCAAATTATAATCTCCTTAAAGGCTGCAACTGTTTCTTCATCTTTCATAGGTCTTATGACCCCCAAGAAACCGACTTCAAAGCACTTGAAAATGTTGAGTTTGCTAAATGAATAAATGCAAAATTTACGCTCAAACATACAAATGAATGCATATTTGCATGCACACATACTCTCACACATTTTACCAACCCTTCTCCAGGATAAAGTTTCTCCTCACCAACATGGATAGCAGAAGTCAACTAAAACTGTAGAATACTACATGTTATTAACTCCGTGAAGAGACCTAATTTTTCACAAGACTTGCCGTAGGCTTTGACCTGAATAAAACAGGAAAAGATCCTAAGAGATTACAAAATTTGACTCCTTCCCCTTTACAGAGCAGAAACTATGGCGCTGAGAATCAGAAAGAAAGGAAGATAATGGCAGCTCTGAAACCAGTCTTAGGCCTTGCCGACTCTCAGCACCTTATTCTTTCTGCTAGCATTTTGGCAGACGTGACAAAGAACATCCCATACCATCTCCCTGCAACAGTGTGCTCATATCATCTGCATGGTACAATGTCCTTCCACTATAAGAGACAAGCAATTATATTTTAAAATCTTTTTAAACAGGTATTTCTATTCAGCAGTGGGTTGCTTTATATCCCCAAAGACTCTCCAGTCAAACTTCCTTTTGTTACAGGATACAAAAACAGTTCACACGAATGATCATTACCTTTAACAAGCAATTTGTCTCTCACAGAAACCCTCCGAGTTGAGTCGGACGCTGTGGCTGCCGTCCGGGACCCTTTGAGACCATCGTCACGCTTCAGTTTGCTTGCTAGCGTTAGCATTACTGCTGCCTTTACCCTGAAAGACAGCAATGAAAGCAAGGTTAAGGACCAGGTCTCCAGAGACTAATTAGACATTGAGGAAAATGTACAGGTGCTTTTGCATTTTGATTTTTTCCCATAATTTAGTTATGGAAAAAATTTGCACACATTAATAAGATTGGATTCCTTCATAATACATTTGAAAAGCTCTACATCATCCTCTATAAGCCTAACTTTTAAAATTATGAATTGACTTTATTTATTTTTATTTTTTATTTTTTATTTCTTGAGACGGAGTTCTGCTCTTGTTGCCCAGGCTGGAGTGCAATGGCGCGATCTCAGCTCACCAAAACCTCCGCCTCCCAGGTTCAAGCAATTCTCCTGCCTCAGCCTCCTGAGTAGCTGGGATTACAGGCATGCAGCACCATGCCTGGCTAATTTTGTATTTTTAGCAGAAACAGGGTTTCTCCATGTTGAGGTTGGTCTCAAACTCCTGACCTCATGTGATCCGCCTGCCTTGGCCTCCCAAAGTGCTGGGATTACAGGCATGAGCCACCGTGCCCAGCCATGAATTAACAGTTTTTTAAAAAGAGAGTCATGGCTGGGCGCGGTGGCTCACAAATACAATCCCAGCACCTTGGGAGGCCAAGGTAGGAGGACCACTTGAGCCTAAGAACTCAAGACCAGCCTGGGCAATATGGCAAAACCCTCTCTCTACAAAAAATACAAAAAAATTAGCCAGGGGGTGGCATGCGCCTGTAGTCCCAGCTACTCGGGAAGCTGAGGTGGGAGGATCCCTTGAGCCTGGGAGGTTGGGGATGCAGTGAGCTGTGATTGTGCTACTGCACTCCGGCCTGGGTGACAGAGCGAGACCCTGTCTCAAAAAAAAAAAAAAAAATTAAAATTAAAAAGTCATGCATTTCGCCGGGCGCGGTGGCTCAAGCCTGTAATCCCAGCACTTTGGGAGGCTGAGACGGGCGGATCACGAGGTCAGGAGATCGAGACCATCCTGGCTAACACGGTGAAACCCCGTCTCTACTAAAAATACAAAAAACTAGCCGGGCGAGGTGGCGGGCGCCTGTAGTCCCAGCTACTCCGGAGGCTGAGGCAGGAGAATGGCGTAAACCCGGGAGGCGGAGCTTGCAGTGAGCTGAGATCCGGCCACTGCAGTCCAGCCCGGGCTACAGAGCAAGACTCCGTCTCAAAAAAATAAAAAAAAAAAAAAAAAAGTCATGCATTTCACACTCACTGGTTATCCACTAGGTGCTAGGCCCTGGGATGTGGTTGTGACGAAGCTCCCGTGGAACACAACGTCTAGGGTGCCTCCACAGCTTCTCAACCAGCATGTCCTCACCAACGGGTTCCACATGGGTCCATTACTGTCCACTAGTAAGTCTGCCCTGCCCTGCTGCAGGGGATCATGCACACACATGGTATGGTCCCAGGGTCTGGCCCATCACCAACTGAAGCAGCACAGCCTCTAGTGGAAGAGCAGCACCACTCTTTGCTCTCCTTCCTCCTTTAATAAAGGTGTGACTAGAGCCTTAACAAGCATCTTCTCATTTATTCATGCTGTGTTGCATTTACTTATGTTTGTGTTTTATTTATATTTTTTGGCAATTTCAACATCAAGACTGAATTAAAATTAATGTCCCCAAGTAGATTATGTTCATTGGTGGCTTCCACCCCATCTGTGTTGCAGGTTCCCCTGCTGCAAGCTCACTGGGAGGGACAACAAAGACCAAACACAGGTGACGCCACTTGCTGCCTGGGAGACAGTTGAAGAAATGCCACAATTTGCTTAAGATTTTATTTTTTAAGGGTAGTTTTAAGTACACAGTAAAATTAAGAGGAAGGTACAGAGATTCCCCATATGCCCGCTGCCCCAACACATGGACATCCTCCCCTATTACCAACATCTCCCACCAGAGGGTACATTTGTTACAATTAATGAACCCACATCAACACATGATAACTCAAAGTCCACAGCTTACGTTATGATCCCACTAACTATACAGGGTAACTATCCTCTAGACTCTGCCTTCTATTTCTAACATAAACTGACATTAATCTTCCTCCTAACTCTTACTTACTTTGCCATGGTCAGAGAGGGTCTCTGGAACTTCTTTTGACTGAGGACAAATATTTGTCACTAGGGCCGGGTGCTGTGGCTCACGCCTGTAATCCCAGCACTTCAGGAGAACGAGGCGGGAGGATCACGAGGTCAGGAGATTGAGACCATCCTGGCCAACATGGTGAAACCCCGTCTCTACTAAAACACAAAAAATTAGCTGGGCGTGGTGGCGCACACCTGTAGTCCCAGCTACTGGGGAGGCTGAGGCAGAAGAATCGCTTGAACCCGGGAGGCAGAGGTTGCAGTGAGCTGAGATTGTACCACTGCACTCCAGCCTGGCAACAGAGTGAGACTCAGAAATAAAATAAAATAAGATAAATTGTCACCAGTTCAATACTTCCACAATTTCCTTTGTTGCTTTCATATCATTTTATTTCAATACCACTCTGATCATTTCAACAGAAAATGATCTAAAAATTTCATGTGAAAAGCTTGACATAAGCACAGAAATTTTAGGTTGAGACTAAGATCCTGAAAGTCAAATAAGAATACTCCTTTCCTCATTGGCATTTGAAACCATTTTTCACCCAGGTCTCTTACACAGTTTCTCACACCATCTTCTGCCTATCTCCTAAAGGCCGTCAGATTTTATTTTCTATTGTTTGTATCATGAAAACAGTGTAGGCCGGGCATGGTAGCTCATGCCTGTAATCCCAGCACTTTGGGAGGCCAAGGTGGGTGGGTCACCTGAGGTCGGGAGTTCTAAACCAGCCTGGCCAACATGGCGAAACCCCATCTCTATTAAAAATACCAAAAAAATCAGCTGGGCCTGGTGGCGGGTGCCTGTAATCCCAGCCACTCAGGAGGCTGAGGCAGGAGAATAGGTTGAACCCAGGAGGTGGAGGTTGCAGTGATAGTGCCATTGTACTCCAGCCTGGGCAACAAGAGTGAAACTGCATCTCAAAAAATAAAAAAATTTAAAGAATTTTTTAAAAATGAAAACAATACGTAGAATACGATCTTCTGAACTGCACAGTCTTTTCCACTCAGAGGACACGGACATACACATACCGTAAACCCCTTAAGAAGCACTGGTCTAAAGGCTTCCAAGACAGCTCTGCACTTCCACAGTCATAAGCTCTTAGAATTGCAAAGTTGGAATGGACTTCTCCCACTCCCATTCCATTTTAACATGTGGACCCCAGGACAACAGGGGCCCAGAAGGCAGCCTGCCCAAAGCCACTCAGCTGCTAGAAGCAGTCACCAAAGACACACTAGTTCCCCTCTTGTGGATGACAGAAATGTTTTTTGTTTGTTTTTTGAGACAGGTCTTGCTCTGTAGCCCAGGCTGGAGTGCAGTGGCATGACTCGAGCTCAGTGCAGCCTCAAACTCCTAGGTTCAAGAGATCCTCCCACCTCAGCATCCCCCACCCTCTAAAGCAGCTAGGATTACAGGCATGTACCATTACGTCCAGCTAATTTTAAATTTTTTGTAGAGACAGGGCTTCACCATGTTACCCAGGCTGGTCTTGAACTCCTGAGCTGAAGCAATCCACCTGCCTCAGCCTCCCAAAGTGCTGGGACTATAGACGTGAGCCACCACGCCCAGTAGGACATGTTTTTAACTCGATTGTGGTCATGGTTTCAGACTAATCAATTACACAATTTAAATATGGGCAGTTTAGTGTATTTCAATTATGCCTCAATAAAGTTGACAAAAACGTGAAAATAAGCCAACATTAGTTTATTCATTGTTACGCTACTGTGCCATCTCCTCAGATGGACCTCCATAAGAGCACATCTTCACAGCTTTGCCCAGGGCAAAGCAGCTGGGTTCAGCTGATGAAGTTACTTCACAGGAAAATAGTCACAAACACCTGTAGGGTCTTCAGCTACCACAGACAGTAGCACCATCTAGAGCCAAGCTCTCCTGCTTCAGCCCCTACCTGGAATGATCTTGTCAAAAATCCCTCACAAGGATTCCTCGTCATAGAACAGTGTTTCCCTTCCCAGCCAAGTCCGCTGCCACGTGTGCAGACTCAATCACATCAGTCCTGCCACATCATCAGGGTCACCCAATTATGGACCAAGACGTGCATCCATCCATCCATCACCTGAGGGTCAGCTGGATGCACCAGATGCCCTACACAAGGACTACCAGGTCTCTGGCTGACCTTGGGAATGCAAATGAAGCAAAGAGTAAAAAATAAAAGCACAACATGCTTGAACATGAGTTCAGCAGGCAGTAACCTAGGAAAGCCAGAATGAAGAGTCCCATAGAACAGCAAGCACCAGGGCCACACCCAGCTCCCCGAGAACCTGCACTGAAGGAGGCTCAGGGGAGCCTGGGGAGACTGATCCCTCACATACTGAAAGGCTCACCACCAAGAAACTCTTCTGTAACACTACAGTTCGCAGGCTACGCTTAATGCTTTTATACCCCCAATCATGCCACGACGAAATCCTCTCTGTGGGCAGAAGATGCTCCAATATTCAGTTCCACTGGAAGAGTCAGATTGCTGGTTTACTATCTTCAAGTTTGTGACTTGCGAGATATAAGACAATGTTTAACACTGGTGTTTTGTTTCCCATAGAAAGTAATAAAAAAATGTACTTCCCTAACATTCTAAGAAATCTAATACAGTGACCATCTATTTTTCTGTCATGTGTATCATTTTCACATGACACTTTAAGGATAAACCCAAGGCCTAATTTGGGAATGTTTCCATAGCTATAAAATTAAATCTATACCAAAGGATTCTAACAAAAAATAAGTATTCAGACTGTCAAGCGGCTAGCTGAATACCTGCAGTTGCTTCAGAATTCTTTTCCTTCTTCAATATGTTTCAACTCTTGAAGATTTGGTTTAAAACAAAACTTCCTCTTTCCTGCAAATTACACTCTAAGGCAGCATTTCAGTAACAGATCAGCTGTTCTGAACAGTATTCTCAGTCTCTAAATTCCACAAGTTGTAATTGGCCCAGTTAGGTTCTTCCTCTGGGTGGGACCTGCTTTCTGACGGCCCAGAGAAGAGTATCTTGTGTGCAATGTATTAGTGCCATCAAGTGATATTTACTCAGCATCCCTGCAAGCAATGGCAAAACCAGGCCATGTCACTTTGTGCAGGGACGCCAGGGGCCAATCAGCTCAAGGTGAGGGGCTACTTATTTACAATTCCTTCCTAATGGAGACATCTCAATCCAAGCATAAAGGATGGGCCTGCGGGTCACTAGGGGACACTCAACGTCCCCGGTCAAAGGGGCCCAGATCAGGGCACAACAAAGTCCATATCCCACTCTTCCACAGAATGCCAGTGCCCAAGAACCTCCCGCTTGGCACAGGAGTACGCTGGTTGACTGACCATCTTTGGAGCCCAGCCCCTTCTACTTTCAGCAGTAAACCTGCCTCTTCCTGCACTGCCTACTACCTGAAAGGCAGGTATGTCCAGGTGGGGGGACAGCACTACACTTGGTGTGATTCTCTCTCTCAATCTCTCTCTCTCCCACCTCTATGCTCCCCCTTACCTTCATCTCACTCCTCAGCCAGGATTCCTCTGCACCAGGCAGGCCAATTTCCTCTTTGCTGCTTCATAACACCCTGCTCATTTCCAGAAGCTTCTATTCAATCTGATACCCAGGTCTGGAATGCCCTCCTTCCTTCACAAACGAATCCTACCCTTTCCTTAAGGGGAAGATTCCTACCTAGATTCCAACGTCTCCTCCTCCAAGAAGCTTTCTCTGGCTGTTCCAACCCATCCTGCCCCCACTTCCAGGCGGTCGGGAATGCAGGATGGGGGGCCCAATTATCTCCTGTGACAGAAGAGGAAACTGAGCCCAGGGAGGGGAAGGACACACCCAAGATGACACACCAGCAGAACCAGGTCTGGAACCAAGATTCTGCAGCACTAACTGCTCCAAGATGCCCTTCCCTCCTCGTCTCCTTTGCTGTGGTAAAAATTTTTCAAACTAGCCTGGCCGCCCCCAATTGTAGGTAAGTGCCTAGACTTACTCTTCCCGCTGCAGGTACACGGACGGGGCGCGAGTTGTCACTCCCCTCACCTCCCCCGCTCCTCACGGCCTAGCGTGACTCCTGCCGCGATCGGGAGTCCAGTCCCGCTTTCTGCGGCCACGTCGGGCCGGTGACCTTGGCCAGGCGCTGGACGCCCCGCTTTCTCCCTACAAGGCACGCAGCCGATCCCGCGAGTGGGGCGTGAGCGCGGCCAGGTCTGTGCCACGCTCGACCCAGGGCCTGGTTCACACTAGGTGCTCGGCGCGGGCCGTCCCCAGCCGCCGCCGCGGTCACTCACTGCCGGGCGAGGCCAGCGCCCCGGCCACTGGCGCCGCCTCCGACCCCCGGCTCGCTGCCCGCGGCCCGCGGTCCCTTCCCATTCACACCGCTCGGCCTTGCGTCCGGGTGCCCGCGCCCGCCCGGCCCCCGGCGTGAGGAACCCGGTGGGCCTGAGGCGGCCCCGCCACCGCCCGCGCCCTCCGCCCGGCCCGCAGGCCAGCCTGTGCACCGGCTTCCGCACCTCGCCCCGCCGCAGAGCCGCGCGGTCGCTCCTCACCTGGGCTCCCCGAAACAGGCGAGGCGGGTCCGGCGCCCAACACCATGCCCGGCCCGGGCGGCTGCTGCGAGACGCGGCCCCTCACAGCCGCACCGGCTCCCGGCGGCGGGACCGGAAGTGGCGGGGCGGGGACTCGGCCGCTCTCGCCCGCGGCTGCAGAGACAGCAGCGGGCGCTTTAAAAAAAAAATTCAAAGTGGCGAAAAACTTTATTGGAACCAGACACGCGAACAGCGGCGTGCGCCGGTCGGGACTGGGCTGGGCGACCGGCCGCTCGGACCTCGCTCATTGGCAGAGGGCGCGGCCGGGGGGCGGGCACGGATTTCGCGACCGTCGCTGATTGGCGAGTAGCGTTAGGGGCGGGGCTTCCGAGTTGGCTCTAGAGTCCGAGCGCCCGAGGGCTGGGGATTTAGCGTCTGGTTCAACCCGGTTTCGCTTCATGATCTTCAGGATTTAGGGGCTCGGAGGAGCTCGGGCTATTCTTCCCTGAAGGAGCGGCCTCCGTGGCTGGAGCTCCCGCTGTCCAGCACCGCACCTGGAGTGCAAAGGACCGGGTCGGACCCCGCAGCCTGCAGTGCGGGCGGTGAGGGAGACCGGGCGGTCAGACGCGCAAACCACTACCAACCCCAAACCGTGTGCTGGCCCGCAGGCCCCACTGTTCTTATCATGTCTCTTCTATTCCTTATTTTCTCTCTTAAATGTGTTTAAAGTGCCTTAAAAATCCATTTCAACTTATCCTCTTAGGAGCCCAGATTCATCCCGCGCTCATTAGCGTCCTGTGTGATTGACGAGGGGCCGCCCTCGGCGTCAGGCAGGCCCCTGGAGGAGTGGACCATTGGAAAGATGAGGTTCAGCATGGAGACGGTCAGAAGGAGACAAGAAGTTAGACTTTCATTTCCAAAAACCCCACTGAGAGGTTTCTAACAGTGGAGTGACAGTATCAGGTTTTCTTCCTAAAAGAGGCTGGCGGGCCCGGTAGCTCATGCCTGTAATCCCGGCACTTTGGGAGGCCAAAGTGGGAGGATCCCTTGAGCCCAAGAATTCAAGACCAGCCTCCTGATGGTGGCAAGACCCCATCGCTACAAAAAAAAAAAAAAAAAAAAAATTAGCCGCATGGTGGAGCGCGCCTGTAGTCCCAGCTACTCATGAGGCTGAGATGGGAGGATCACCTGAGCCCAGGAGGTTGAGGCTGCAGTTAGCCGTGATCGCACCACTGCACTCCAGCTTGGGTGACAGGGCCAGACCCTGTCCCCATAATAATAATAAAGGCTTTGGCTCTAAGAGAGTCCGTGGGAGGGGAGTCAGGAAAACTGGTGAAGAACAACTCGGCCAGGCACAGTGGCTCAGGCCTGTAATCCTAGCATTTTGGGAGGCCGAGGCAGACAGATCACTTGAGGTCAGGAGTTCGAGACCAGCCTGGCCAACATGGCAAAACCCCGTCTCTACTAAAAATACAAAAAAGCCGGGCTTGGTGGTGCACCCCTGTAATCCCAGCTATTTGGGAGGCTGAGGCAGGAGATTTGCTTGAACCCTGGAGGCGGAGGTTGCAGTGAACTGAGATCCCGACACTGCACTCCAGTCTGGGTGACACAGCAAAAACGAACGAAACAACTCGTGTTATTTCTTGTGTTTGGGACCATGTCTCTCCCTTTCTTGCCCGGCTAACTCTCAAGTTTTTCTAAGCTAAGACACCACCTTCTCAGAGGCCTCAGAGTCTGGGGGTGGAGTGGGGCAGTGCAGATGTCCTCTGTGTCTTCCTTGGAGCCCTGCACTTCCCTCTTCCTTATTGCCACGGCCTGTTTCCCTGACTCAGCTCAGCTCCTCAGCCCTCCTCTTCCTTCTTCCTCCAGCCTCACCTCCTGACACCCCCTTTCCCATCCTGGGACATGCAGGTGATTAAAACACATCTGCTGGATAGAGATTGCATGAGCTGGCGGCGTGAGTCCTGGTGAGAGGAGATAAGGGCTTGAAGATTGCAGTGTGTGAAGGTGCAGCTGGAATGGCATGAGCACTTGTCTTACTCATAAGCATCACTGTCTGCAGAATGGATTGCACCACACATTGGCCCACGTAGGCCCAAATTCCACCGCCGTGGATGAATGAAGTCATTTCTAGCTCCATTTCATGAGGCTGCCTAATTCTTTCACTAAGACTTATTTAGGACTTCCTAGTTTATGAACTCAATTAATCCAAACAATAACCCCATGAAACAGGTATTATCCCCATTTTATAGATGAGGAAACTGACATAGAAGTTAAGTAGTCTGTTGACAAAAAAGGTCAGACTGTAAAATATTTGAAGAGATTTTATTCAGGGCCAAATATGAGTGACGAAAGCCTGAGTCACAGCCTCAAGAGGTCCGGAGAACATGTGCCCAAGGTGGTTGGATTGCAGCTCGATTTTTATAAATTTTAAGGGTGTCAGAGGCGTTTGAACCAGAACAACTCCATCTTGAATGGGGGCTGGATAAAATAAGGCTAAGACCTACTGGGCTGCATTCGCAGGAGGTTAGGCATTCTAAGTCACGGGATGAGACAGGAGGTTGGCACAGGTATAGGTCACAAAGACCTTGCTGATAAAAGGATGCCATAAAGAAGCCAGCCAAAACCAAGACAGTGACGAAAGTGTTCTCTGCTCATCCTCACTGCTCATTATGCACTAATTATAATACATCTGTGCTAAAAGACACTCTCACCAGTGCCATGACATTTGTAAACTGTCATGGCAAAGACAGCAAGTTATCCTATGGGATCTAAAAATGGAAGGACCCCTCAGTTCCAGGAATTGCCCAGACCTTTCCTGGAAAACTCATGAATAATCAACCCCTTGTTTAGCATACAATCAGGAAATGACCATAAAAGTGACCAGTCAGCAACCCGTGGGGCTGCTCTGCCTACGTAGTAGCCATTCTTTTATTTCCTTACTTCTCTAATACACTTTCTTTCACTTTACTCTATGGATTCGCCTCGAATTCTTTCTTGTTTGTGATCCAGTAACCCTCTCTTGGGATCTGGATCGGGACTCCTTTTCGGTAACAGGGGGACAGAAGTTACAGGCAGACACCAATCAATACATGTACATTAGTTCAGTCTGGAAGGGCAGGACAACTGGAAGCAGGGAAGAGTAGGTAGGGGTTTCTGGATCATAGGTAGATTCAAAGGTTTTCTGATTGGCAATTGGTTGAAATAGTTATTGTCTAACAAACTGGAATGAGTAGAAAGGAGTGTCTGGGATAAGAAAAGGTGTTGTGTAGACCACCGTTCTTATGTAGATGAAGCCTCCCGGTAGCAGTAGCAGGCTTCAGAGAAATAGATGGTAAGTATTTCTTATCAGACTTAAAAAGATGCCAGACTCTTGGTTAATCTCTCCTTGGATCAGGAAAAGACCTGGAAAGGGAAATCTACAGAACGTAGATTTTCCCCACAAGAGACGGCTTTGCAGGACCATTTCAAAATATGTCAAAGAAGTCCAGGCATGGTGGCTCACGCCTGTAATCCCAGCACTTTGGGATCACGAGGTCAGGAGTTCAAGACCAGCCTGGCCAACATGGTGAAACCCTGTCTCTACTAAAATACAAAAATTAACTGGGTGTGGTGGCGGGTGCCTGTAATCTCAGCTACTCAGGAGGCTGAGGCAGGAGAATTGCTTGAACCCAGGAGGCGGAGGTTGCAGTGAGCTGAGATTGCGCCATTGCAATCCAGCCTGTGCAACAGAGCAAGACTCCGTCTCTCTCTCTATATATATATGTGTCAAAGAAATATATTTTGGGGTAAAATATTTCTCTTTCTTTCAGGGCCCGCTGTCATGTGATGCTGTACTACATACAGTCCACTGGAATTTGGCATCTTATTAGTACAAAGAGCCTGTTTTGTCAGTCTTATGATCTCTGTTTTAATGTTAATGCTGGTGAGTTGTGTTTGAATGCCAAAGGGAGGGGGGCATAATGAGGCATGTCTGACCCCTTTTTCCCATAATGGCCTGAACTAATTTTTCAGGTTTCTTTGGAATCCCTTTGGGCAAGAGGAGGGGTCCATTCGGTCGATTACGGGGTTTAGAATTTTACTTTTGGTTTACATGTCTAATATGACTGTGAGGAATAGAGAAGTTCTTCTTCAAAGTTTCTTAAAACCACAAAGAGCTTGTCATTTATTTGGTTTATGCATATCTATGTATGTTCCAATGCAGCTGCTGTGACTTGGCCTGGCATGCCTGGACAGGGTTAAGCGAGCCTCGGACCATAGTGCATGCCACTCCTTATTTGGAAACCCTCCTGACCCTCTCATGAGTAGCTTCCTCTTTTCTTTGTCCTCTTTCCCCTTTACCTATTTAGAAAAGTTTCAAGCTGCTAGCCAATCAGGTCAAGCTTAGAATGTGAGGTCCCATTCTGGCCAATGGAAATGGGACACAGCCACAGGACGATTGCATCAGGTTACAAAGATGATAAATATCCCCATCTCCTTTGTTCGGGCGTGCTCTCATGGCAAGACTGCTAGTGAGCAGCACCCTTTCTGCAGAAAGTAAACTAGTCTTACCAAGTGATCCTTTGTCTCAGTGTTGATTTTGCCATATCGAACACCCATTTCCAACAATGGCAGAGCTAGGATTTAAAACCGGGCAGTCCGACTCTGATATTTGCCCTTAGCCAGCACACCTTGAGGCAGCTGATACAAAGAACTTGAGGTTAGCTCTGGGAAGCTGGAGATGGTGCCATGAGTATATTGCCTGCAGGCCTGTCACCTGAGTCCTGGCCTCTGTGGGCTGGCCTTGCCCTCCCAGGTGCCTCCAGGAATCTTGGACCTGGGCTCAGACATCTTCACAATCCAGGATATAGAGGGAGCTGGTGTCCCTAACTCTGAATTTCATGTTCTCTGGGAGAGACTGGCTCTACTGGAGTCACAGAGTCACTGTGTGTGTATGTGGGAGTGGGGTGGGAGTGGGGGGGGGGGTTGGGGGTGAGCCCCACAGAGGGGTCTTGTTGCCCAAGGAAGGGCAGGGGGAGACAATGTCCTTCGCATCCCTTCCTCCCTTACCCCTTTAAGTTCAGCCTCAGAGGCTTCCAGCTAGGATGTGGAAGGTGAGATGGCCTGGGCTATCTATCTTTCCAGCCTGGTCCAGGGCCGTGGGCACTTTGGCCTGGA